CTTGTTTAACATTTTGCTACTTTTGAAGAAAGTAAGCAAACAAACAAACAGGAGAATAACAATATATGTTTCTTTTCATTGACTCAATCGTGCAGTGAATGAATGTTGGATGATCCTAGTCAGCACAAATTGAACTTGTATCCTGGTTAAAAAATTAGCTAATTAAACTCTAATTAGTTTGCCTAAACCTCACTGTGTGTGCGGGGTGGGGCGGGTCAGGAAAACATAATGCATTCTCACAATTAATCATTCTTACATCTTACTGTCTTTGAAAAAAATAATTATGTCAATTATATTATCGGATTAGAAAAGGTCATGGAAAATCAGTTGGCATTAAGTTAATGGAACATTTTAAAAAAAAAGCTCATTAAGTTTTCTTTGAGATTGTCAAAGTATGCAGTGAAGAAAAAGTATCAACTATGTAATTGCACAGACATCTGTGAAGGTTTAATAACTGAGTGTTTTTGGCAAGCTATTTTGTGAATTATTTTCCCCTTTCAGCATTCAATGGAGCGACTGAAAAACATTGGGGTGGGTGGGGGTCAGAGCAAGGATATACTTGCAGTTATTTCAATAAAGCAAGTCAAAATTGACATAATAACAAACTAAAGGCCCAGTCTGAAAGGAAGGACAGCAGTGTTTTTTTGGCATTTGAAACAATGGACCACCAATAGAGGAGAAAATTAATTCAGTGACATTTTGTCAGTTGGACAAAAAATACTACTCAGCTCTCAAACCAACCATGAATCTAAACTGTAACTTGAGGGGAATCCAAAGACCCTGAGATTTGAAAACTCAAAACATATTGATGACAATAACTGGAACAGACTGATTATAAATACTATACCAGCAGCTATTCAGAAATCTGGTGGCGAAAGAAGGAACAGAGCTCAAAAGGACCAATTTTAATGTTTATTTCAACCTGAAAATATGTTGACCAGTTGCAAAAGCAAATTATTTTGTTTTAGTAGAAAGAAGAATACAGTCAAACCTATCTTAGACAACATCCTCTCAGGTGGCTGGGCCAAAGTGGCCTTTATATAAAGGTGGCCTCTAAATAAGGGATCGTTGGTGTGTAAACTGTTAGAGTTCAGAACTGAAAGACAGCTGGTTAGAATGCAAAATAAATGCAGATTTAACGAATTGGTATTCCAAATACCAATATAATAAACCTACAATGATTGCTATTGAGATTACCGGATGCTTCTGAAACTGAGCAAGAGTGTACAGAAGTGGGAGACAAATACTGTTTATCTTCAAGATATTTATCTGACATGAAAGGCACTATATAAGTGAAAGTTGTTCTTGTTGAATTTTTATGAATTCTGAGAATCAGTTCACTAAAAGTAGCAACCAAGATTAATAAGGCCAAAACAAAGCAAACCAAGCATTGGAGTTCATTTCTAGAGGGATAGAAATAAAAAGCAGGGAAGTTATGGTAAACTTCTAGAGAACCTTAGTTAGACCACACTTAGAATACTGTGTGCAATTCTGGTTCCCACATTTTAGAAGGAATGTAGAGACATTGGAAAGGGTGCAAAGGAGATTCACAAGGATGATCCCAGAACTGAGAGGTTATACTTATCAGGAAAGGCTGAACATACTTCGACTCTTCTCTTGAAAAGAGGAGGGTAAGGAGTGACCTGATCGAAAGGTCTTTAAAATTATGAAAGGTTTTGATAGGATAGACAGAGGGAAGATGTTTCCACTTGTGGGGGAGACCAAAACCAGGGGCCATCAATATAAAATAGTCACAAATAGATCAAATAGGGAGGTTAGAAGTAATCAGGCGTGTACAGCAGTTGAAGTTTGAAACAAGGGCAGGTGGACTTGAAATGTACCTAGTTTAGGAGACTCAACATGGCCACTCTATGTAGATGTTGAATGTTATCTTGAAAAGGGATCCGCACAAGGACTACAGAGTTCCCGAGTTAGACTTCAATCCACTGATTGTGTAAAGTGTTTATGTTCATCAAGTGCACACGAGAATACCTCTCATTACCATTAATAAGTCTTAGTGTAAAGTAGAGCAGTCAGGTGAGTTCAATGTTTTGTCCGAATTTATAAGATGAGTCTAAATCTGTAGAAAGCATTATAGAATCATATGATAGAATTATTTTAAAATTTTATTTTCTGAAATTACAGGTTTAAAAAGATGGCGGAAAAAGGACCAACAGACACGAGCAAAGAAGAATGTGCTGCACAGCCAACTGACCCAGGCAATGGCTCTGACACTGGTGATGACGGAGGGGCTACAACAAGCCCACCACCAGTTTCAGTCTCGGTAAGTAACAGTTCACGCTGAGTCTTGTTCTTTGTAAAGAGTAACCTGACCACCTCAGAGCGGCTCTCAGTGGGGTCTAATTTGCCATTTTGGCATTTCTTGCATTAATCGCCACTTCCATTTTGCGAAAGGCATGGCGAAATTCACAGTCAACAATCCCAGGATGTCAAAAGCCCCCCAAAAAATCCCAGCAAACAAAACACAAATGGCCAGCTATTTTGTGAGCTGCGAATTCTGCAAATCAGATGTCACAAACTGGCCTGTGCAATTAATGGAATTGGAATTCATAGTATAGTTGCAAATTTGTAGTGATTATAAGAGTCCATATACAGTATAATGCAAGTTCATAAATTCTGGGTTAGTCTAACAAGGCTGGAAAATAAAGTTAAAGCATATTAACACCAGAACATTATTTGTAGTCCACTGTCTGTTTGTATTGAAATGTTTATTTCTAATGGCTAAGTGTAGGTTTACAATTATTGTGTGTTACAATTATTGAAGCCAAAATTCCACTATTATTGATTTTTTTTCTTCACTACTGCTGATAATTCTTCAATGATGTAGCTCAATAAATGTTGCAATAGCATAATCAGAATTGATTGTTTAACAAACATTAAAAACAAAAGGCAGAAAGTAAAGAGCTGTTTGATTCTTTGATTGTTTTGACCCATTTTGTAACGAAAGAGTTCTTGACTGTGATATCTTAAACAAGGATACATAAATAGAAAATAATGTCTTTTTCAGGATGTGTTTCTTAGTTTTGTATGTTGAAAACTCCATGAATGTTTGAAGTCGGGGAATAGATGGATGACTTACAGTAGTATTGTTATATTACAAGAACAAGCAAACAATCAACTTGAAAACAAGCCTAGGAATTGGGGCGGAGGTTATAAATAATCTTCTTGTTTGTTCCTCTGGAGGATATAGTTTATTCTCTCCTGTGGCCTTTGTGAAATCCCTGTACAGTTTAATTGAATAATATGTTGAGTTAGAAAGAACTTGCATTTTGAGTGCAGCTTATTGCAACTTGTGTCAACTCAGACTTCCATATAAAACAGGTCCATATGGACCGGCATTGAACTAGTCATCGGAAGCATATAGATTGCTGTATTCTTACGATTTCTGGTTTAATCTTTTCAGAAATGCAAAGAGAATATTCAAGTATTCTGTTTTTGGAGAACTATTTTCAAGGGCAGTTGCAAGTTGTTGCGCTGCCACTTAAGTGAAGAAGATACTACTTTAGTTTTTCTCTCTCCTACCCCAAAGTTTACAAAGTATCACACATTTATTTGAAATGGGAATCTCCAACCTGTGAACTGTGACTTTCAATATTGTATTTTCTGCTTCTTCTTCCTAGCCTCTTTCCCTTGCATTTTTCGTCAGCAGAGAGCTTGTGATGGTAAACCTGCTTACAGGCATCTACCAATGCTGGCCAGTATCTAGCTGCCAGTTGGGGTGCGCGAATAGCCTCGGATGACTGCATCTGATTTCTTTTCCCCTTTAGTGTAAGATAGTAGCTTGTCCCAACAGTACACCTAAAGTTGTGAGCCCACCGTGTGGATAATTGTTGCTGTGATCTTGTGTCTTACAACAAATCTGGATGATCTGTACTGAGATCTTTAATGAAAGATGGATGTTTATTCATATCTCCAGTGTGCTCAGATATGCGAGCGAGTGAGCAACATTGAACTTAAAAAGAAAAACTTTAATTTAGCCTAACTAGATTGTGATATGTGGTTCAGACGTCTCAAAGCGCTTTGCAATTTTAATTATAATTTTGCTGGAGGAGCTTATTATGGATGTTTTGATTTGAGCTAGTGCGGGAGATTCAGCTTTAACAGACAGGTACTGCATAAGCAAGACATGGTTCAAATCTTTATGGTGATTGCAATGTAATCTATTGTACTGGACAGAATCTCTCTTGTGGCTCTTGGTTTAGAAGGAAATTCTTGCAAATGAACAGAGAAACAATTTATGGTGGGGCGATACCACTGATCTCAGTTGAGTAAACTTGTAATATACGTGTGTATGTCTGAGGAAAGTAACACTTAGAAGACAGGAGGTCCAAATAGTAAAGCGAGTAGAACAAAATCGAAATGAAAACCTGACTGATACAAACCAGAAAAAATGTGCATAGCAATAAATTAATAAATCAGCACTGTGAGAAAATGAATAAATGTAAGTAAGAAACAGGAGTAAAATTAGGGAATTAAATTAACTCAATTTTAAACATGGCTATTATTAAGAAAACTGCATTTAATATTTGTTTTTTTGCTCTTTTGTCTCTGAGCTCAATCCAAGTAAGTAGTGCAACTTGCAGTTGTTCTGATGCCAGTGAAAATTTCAGTGATTTATTTGAATAATGTTCGTCCCATCCAAATCCTGAGAATGTGTTGCAGCTTTAACATGTGTACTGTTGTTTGAGAAGGGGAATTGTCAACCAAAGTTTGTTTCTGCAGTTATGTTTGGCGTGACAAAAGAATGGGATGCTTTATAGCAGAGTGTGGTGTCTTTCCATTTTATCAAAATGCTACTTTTTGCTCTATTATAATTTCTTTATTTGTGTACATGGAAAGAAATGACTTCATAGCGGGCAAAACATTGCATGCATATTGTGTGAATTTACTGCGCTTTCCATACAGCTGCAAGGTTGATTGAAAGAAATGTATTTGCCATATTATTAAAATGTCACTTTGTTTTTCTTTCTTGTCCCATAATGGGGAAAACAAAGAAATTCATGATGAGCAACAAGACTGAATCAACCATGTGGCTGCTTCGATTGTTTACACTGATATCAACATTCTTCTTTCTCTTTCCTGTTTTCGGGTAGGTAGATTATTTATACAATTGTAGTGGCTTTATGCATGTACAACTAAAGCATTGGGCAACTACATAATAATAATAATCCTTGCATTTGATATAACGCTTTTCACGTCGGGAGGACGTCCCAAAGCGCTTCACAGAATATACTGTAAAGTGAATTGACTGTATATTTGTGGACGAACGCAGCAGCCAATTGCGCACAGCAATGTCCCACAAACAGTCATGGATTGAAAATGACCAATTTATTATTGTTTTGTTTTTTGGAGGGATTATTATTAGGCGTGTGGAGTAAGGAAACTTGCCCAAGGTTTCGCTCTGCCTGGAATTGAACTCAGGTCTCTCATTTGCAAAGCGAGTGCTCTAACCACTGAGCTACAGGACTCTACATATGAAATGTGCTGAGACAAAATCCTAGCAGTGCCTAAATTGGTTAGACAAACACAATCCTTTATCCTTTATGTTTATTGGAGAATGTTGAAAAACTACAAATGCAGCTTTCGTCTATTGAAACAATAAACAGCAGATCATATTGTTATGTCAACTGCTGTCTACTATATGCAGTGAAACTCTTATTTTTCTTTATAAACTGAATGTATTTGCACGAAAGCTGCAGGCATTTTTGGTTTCCAATTTGTTCTGCAAACAATGCAATGCTCTGTGGTTCCTCCTATTCCACGAACATGAGAAACACCGCATGAGAAATCAGCAATTTACTGAATAATAAGGATGCAGAGGTCTTTTTTTGCTGTGTTTTGACTTTCCATTTCTCAATTGTAGAATTGCTGAAGGTGGACAATTTTACCAGCGAGCTTTACTGGCGAATGCCCTGACCAGTTCTTTCCGGCTCCATCAGCGTCTGCCCAGGTTCCAGTTCAGCAGGGCCTATCTTACTCAGGCACTCTTGGAGGACAGCTGCCACTACCTGCTGTATTCACTCATCTTTATTACATCCTATCCCATTACCTGTATCCTTCACTGTGCTTTATAGCGTAAACTAAATCATTTTTATGACTGTAATCAGATCTCGAGGCATGATTTACCACATTTAAAAAAAAACATCTCAGTATCTGTAAGATCTTGCTGAGCGCAATGTTCTTTGTCTCCCTTTGATTTTTCCGGTTTATTCCTTGAGGCATTTTTGTAATAGTTTTGGACAGTGCTGACACTTGTCAGTGATATAGTGAATGAAAAAATCCAAACAAGGTAGTTTTATCTTTTTTTTTAGTTACCATTATTTCACTAACAAGGTTGCGTGACGGTGAAGTCTTTTAATGGATTGCTTAAATAGAATATAATGAAATACAAGATTTAAGTAATGCATTGCTTGAAGACATTTTCTTAATTGTCTGAGAAATAGGTTGTCATTTTTTCTACAAGTGAAGTAGATATTTTTGGAAACATAATGCACAAATCCCATACGTAGTTATGTATTCATCTGTCCAAAAATCTGTGAATGTAAGAATTATGACCCGACATCGGGACCGAGCCAAAGATAATATTTCACTTTTTAAATGTCATTGAAAGACAAGAGAATTATGAAAAAGATGGAAATGGTTCAGAAATTGTTCTAAAGCTGAATACTTTGTTTTTATAAATAGGTCAGTGCCATTCCGCTTGGAAATCTCAGATGTAGGATTCTAAAGATAGCTATTAAAGGCTGCTGTAAAGAAATCACAGTGATATTTTGAGAGTTCACTCTGTGAAGTTTGCAAGAGTCTGAAGATAATGAGGAAGGGAGTACAGTATCTGGTGTTGCCAACAAAATGAACAGTGTAGTTTTGAAAACTGTTTGTAAAACCCAAGGTCTAGGGTTTTGCCATACAACAGACTGAAGAAACCAAAAGGGCAGCAAAATGTGATCCAGAACGATAGGCACTGAGCATCAGAGATTGTTTCCTCTCCCAGATAAAGCAACAAAGAGCAAGCAAAGGGTAAGAAAAAAATAACTGACGTAATAACAATAATTTATATAGGGATTTTCACCTTGGGTGGATGTACCACATATCTGATTTGGAGCCGGGGATGGGGGGGGGATTGAGGGTAGGCATGAATAAATTGGTGCAGAAGTCTAAACATGCAGCAGCAGTAGTACATACAAGTCCTTTCACACTTCAGAGGTTCTGGTACAGCTGGACATCAACCTTGCAGTCTAAATTGTGATAAACTACCTCAGTCCTTGGGTGGGCCACAAGGGGGAGTGTCTGCTGAAAGTGAAGTGCAACACCCTCTGTCAGGGAAAGCTAACACCACCTGTCTCACTTTGCTGTCTAGTACACCTCTGGTCAGCAAATCAGTATGACAATTGTTGAAGTTATTGAGAAAGTGAGATCCACTGATCCTCTGGCTGCAGAGAAAAGTGAGAAAACATAGAAGTGAACAAAAGGGAGATTCATAGCTGTAAATAAAAATCTCTTCTGACATAACCAAACTTACAAATTATAACTTAATATTTCAGAAGTTTTTTTTAATACACATAGAGTTCCCAAGCAAAAAGAGACTGTTATCCCTCCATCTATTGTTTAAATAATGTCACACATTGTTTTCAAGGGGAAAGTGAACTATTATTTTTCCTTTTTAAATGTTTCTGAAGTCTTCCTTATCCAGATATACACAGTATGCCTGGTACCAGTTGCAGTGTTTTCTCTGCTTCATGCAACAGCTTACACCAGAAAAATCTTAAATGTAAGTTTCCTCTGTTTACCTTTATTCCTATAATTCTTTACATTGTTCAGTGTGTCACGTTAATACAATGCAAATCTGTAGCTCACACTAAAATACATTGTAAATGGTTCTTTTACCATGCTTTGCAAGTTTCTACAAAACATGAATGGTTGCGTTTTCATTATTAAGTTGTTAAAATCCCAAGTGATTCCTGTTCCTTGTGCAATTTGTAGTCTATACTACATGACTTCATTCACCACAGTATTTCCATTTGTACTATTCCAGAGAGTTAAACCCTTTTTGTTGAAACTGCCAGATATATATAAACTGAGTTCAAATTATCTCTAGGGCACTCACACTTTTCCAGACAACAGTGGACATGGCCAATGTCTGAATTGTGGTTTGAAGGTATATCAGTCGCATGATGTGCTCTATCACAAAATCCGGATACCCTTTAGTACTCGCTTTGCAAGAGCTAAATTAATTACACAAGAATGAATTTTGGTTATCCCAGAGTCAACCCTGTCGTAACAGCAATTTATCCTCACCATTTAACACTGCACAAAAGTTCTATTCGGTAATCTGTCCTGCATGGTGTGGGATTGGGAAGAAGGTTGCACACTTCGAGGAGTTGCTGTACTTGTCTGCAGAGAGAAAGGGAGAGAGTATTAATGATCGATACTAATGTAGAGCTTGTGTGCATTTAATACATCATATCATGTCTTAGCTGACAGTGCTCCTCTGAATGGATGATGTAATGACCATAACCCTGCAAAGTTCCTCAAGGCAGGGTTTGCTGGATATCAAGCATGATTCCATAAATAAAAGTTGTATAGAGCAGATATTTAATATATTCCTTACCTCAATATAAATGTCAAATGATATACATGATTTCCCTTTGAGATCTGAAGTCCAAAACGGGTGATTCGAAATATGATTCGAAAACTAGTCCTCTTTTCTCTTGTGGATATTTAAGTGTTTGTCAATTCTGCGTGTTGCAGATTGACAAGGGGAGGTGATTTTTATTTGCCAGAATAGTCAAGGGCAATTTACAGATCAGTAGTTTTGAAGAAAAGACTTGTTGATCTCAGCACACTCGTGTTACAGCTATAGGTACGACAAGATAGATTTAGTTGTCATTTTGATAAATTGCAGCCCTATATCGGTACTCCACCAAATAAATAAAGCAGCAGTATATCTCTGTTGTTCAGATGCTTAACAAATGTATGTGGCTTGTCAGCACAGTAGCTGGGAAGTGACAACTTTAGACTTGATGTATGATTTAATAACTTGTACGGGTTTGTCCTTCAGTCTAAATTGATTTATTCATTAGCAGATTCTAATATACAGCTTTGTAAATAAAATTCAGAACCTTTCAACTTTTCAGGTTTTTTTTCCCCACAGTGACATTCTAATCACTGAATACCAAATTTACTTTCAAAGCGGGTAGAATACTATCTGCAAAAGTTATAAAAGTATTGCATTTAATCAGTTAAATATTTTGATCAAACAAATTGTTAGAAGGACCATCAAACAGTTCTGAGTCTTTTATCATAACTTCCAGTGTCAACACTGCGTTTTGCTTGGCAATCAGGATTGACAGTGTGTCAGTTTAAAACATCCTTCCAACCTTGAGCAGGGTCAGGTCTACCAAGTGGCAATACTGTGAATATTTCTTTAAATCATGTAGCCAAGTGGATGATGGAGAAATGAACAAATACAATTGAAATTCAAGGTAATATTAGAAAGGCTTGAGGGAATAAAAGCGAGAGAATAAAAGTGTTAAAGAAACTGATGATTTGATAGGGTAAATGCTCCACAATGGGAATGATTCAGCAAAACTTTGCGACCAGTTTTTATCCAGCAGAAATTGCTGGAAAATGGAAAGACCATTTTGATTTTATTTTAACTTTTTATCATTTCTCATCTGAACAGTCTGGCTGTGGTTTACTAGGAATGCTACTTTTAACAATATAATTCAGTAATACCAATCTAGTCTTCTCCAGAAAAGAGAGACCTTAACATTTACTGCTGTTTGAGTTATTTGTTTAGAATTTGCAGGAAACATCTTGTTCCATGAACTATTTGAAACAAGAGTTCAAAGAGCATAAATATCGTTGAAGTTTTTTTAAATAAAATAAATATTTTCAGAAAAGGAATAGTAGAACATACCTGCATTATCAGTGATTTTAATATGTTGAAGTAACTGATTCTGAATATTCTACTTTTGGATTGTATCCCTGCTTTTTAGATGATTACAAATGTTTGCTTGTTTTCCTGTTATATTGGCAAATGTAAGCTTTTCTTTAAAAAAAAGGCTCATAGCTGAAGGGAACGAGGTCTCAGGTAGCAGTGAGTTGGGTTCTTTGAGATACCTGATAATCAAAGTAAGTTGCCTCAAATTAGATTATTTATATACATCTCAAAACAGCTTGGGTGATGAAAGTGGACTTTGGTCTTACCATCTGTGATTTGCTCCTCCTCTAAATTAATCACAGAATGTCAGTAAAGATTGGTGTTAAGAAACCCAGGATCAAAATTCAGATGGAGGAAGATCCGATGGTATATTTCCCTTCTCTTTCCAATTTTTTGATTTGTCTACATATCCATATGAATATATCTTATTTCAGATTGTATCATGCATTTTCAGAACTGGGGTATTTTAATCAGATTGTCTTTAATGTATCAAAATGGTACATTTGTGATTTTGAATGTACCATTGTTGCTTTTATTTGTAGCCTGTTCCTATTCGAGCTTTTCAGACAGAGGGTCAGTGTGCCATAAGTGAAAGATCAGAACTGATATACATTTTCCGTTTTGAGTGTGAGCTGAAACTGCAGTTCATGTGTTCTCGATTTTTTCAGTGATCTGTGTGTAGGGCTGAATGGTTATGGAAGGAATTTCTGATTTAATAGAAAAAAACTATACTGCCATTTCTCCTAAATAATCTGTTGGCTTTATTTAGTAACTGAAATCAATGTTTTGGTTAATATATACACCCTAGAAATTATAATGCAGCTTTTTTTTATAAAAAAGATTACATTTCAATCCGGTTTGACTGTATTTTAAAACTGGTATTTTATTCCAGGCTGCTTGTGAACATTAACTAGAGGAATGTTAATAACCAGTCTCTCAAACTTGAAGGGGAAACATAATTGACTTAAATTAACATTTTAAATTGTTTTTAAAAGTAATATTTAACAACTTTGAACACATGCTCAAGGATTGGCACATCAACATGTTAATGTAGTACTACTCCGACCTAAACTATGCGTTGTCGTTTATCTTTAAGTTTAGCCATCAAGTGAAAAATTTAGGATATACAAGTTGTGCTATATAAGACTAACTGAAGTACTTTCTGTGTTTGAATTCACTTTGTTGTAAATATAAGTGTTCTTGTATACTGTAACATTCTTCAACTATTTACCATAATTCTTTATTTTGTTGTACACTACAGCATTTTATATAGAAGCGTACTTTATTCTGGCTCATTAGATAAAACAGGGTGTTTCCTTTCATAAATTGAGCAATATGTTTCATTTTAGTTGAACTAATTCAAGGTTGAAGACTTTAATTTATTTTGGACTCCAGACCAAACAAAACATAAAGTTAATGGCACGAGAAATTGATTCATCCTTCAGATCAAACAGTACTGCATTTGTTTTCCAGGCACAACTCACAGTTCATCTCAGTGCAACATTTGTTGTAAGGCAGTTACAGTGCACTCTCTTCACATAGCTACTGGGCATTGGATTGCACTGTAACACATACCTTATTATGAAATACATACTCTTTGGCTTTCAGGGACTGGGTTGGGAGGTGATAAAGTATACAGTATTTAATATGAATATGAATTATGTTGTTGATTAAAAAACTGAGTCTAAGTTTAAACTGATTCATTCTGAGTGGCCATCACACTTGCCCACCTGTAATTGAATGACTATAGCTCTGTACAAAAATAAAACGTATTTGGTTTGGTAAATCCATTTTAATATTTAACTTGGTCTATCAAATGGGAATAGTTGGTATTCCATTTAGCTGCTGGGGACAATACGAGCCTTGACCTTATTGTGGACTATTTAAAGGACTATTTGTGGAGTCCTGTAGCCTTACAAGCGAGACACCTGGGTTCAATTCCAGGCAGGGCAAAACCTTGGGCAAGTTTCCTTATTCCACACGCCTAATAATAATCCCTCCAAAAAAAACATAATAAATTGGTCATTTTCAATCCACGACTGTTTGTGGGACACTGTTGTGCGCAATTAGCTGCCGCGTTTCACCCAAAATATACGGTTAATTCACTTTACAGCATATTCTGTGAAGCGCTTTGAGCGTGAAAAGCGCTAGATCAAATGCAAGGATTATTTATATATTGATTATACCAAGTTAAATGTTCAAACTGACTAGAGTGGTTTTGTGTTTTTCCAGTACTTGTTGATTAGTTGACACTATAAGTAGAAGAAATGCAGTGCTGGTAATTCAGGTGGATGTCAATAAAGGCTTTGTTCTTTTGAACACTGGTTAAGTGTTTTTTTTAAATTTTGCAGTAAGTATCTTCAACTGTTGTCAGAACAGGCCAGGGGTCAGAATTCACAGGACTACTGGTACAAGAATAAATGTGAAGTAGTTTCTATTGTTACATTTCCTGGCTGCTGGCTATTGCAATGTGCGAGTTTACTGATGTTCTATTAAATAGTTCTACCCTCACAGCTCTCCCTTTATGACTGCTGATCGCAACTGTGGCGTCTGGTATAGTGTCTGATAGAGTTGAGATGCTTTTCTTCTAAAACATTTGAAAATTGGAGATGGCTTTGAACTGTACTCTGCATAACTTCTTGTACCTATCTGGCAGAGGAACTTTCTGCACTTCTCCCCCGAATTTCTGCCTGAAAATGGAGCATTGATCTGGAGGGGGCTGGCCGGGGGGCAAAAAAATTGAGGAGTTAAGATAGATTTGGAACACCTTGTGAAATCATTACAGAAATATTTATCAGTAAAATATTTTGAACATGTATAGATAT